GTCACTAACTGCCATCAAACACAGTAGCTTTATTAGTAATTTTGTTTTTTTGTTTTTTTACAAGAATGAAATAAAATGTTAATATCTTTTGAAGATTGATGAAAAACATGCAGGAAATTTATTTTCTGGGCCATTTAAAAATTATTCTTGGATTTTCAAAATTTAAAATAGCATTAAGGGGAAGACATTAATTATTATGTTACTTGACTTGTTACTCATGAGTAATAAATTGACATTAACAAGCAATAAATTACTCATGGAAACAAGCCAGATACAATTTTTTAAAGTAACCTTTTTAAGCTCTGAGTATTTCAAATACGATTTGAGTAGAATTAGAATTATATTTCATTGCTCCCTTTTCTGACATTCGTCTCCATTTTTTGTTTCCCCGTCTCATCTTTTCTTTCAGAACTAGCTTTACATTTTTGTATGCATTTAATTTAAGTCCTCCCTGAGGGGGGTGGGGGGCATCAATTACTTGCCAAACAATTTTGGAAGGAAGGGATAACAGTGATTCCTTTCCCCATTTTACTTCCCATTTTCCATTTATGTAGGCCTGACAAGTAGATACATGAAGATTCAGCAAGCCTTGCTCCGGTTCCAGTTGGCTTCAGGAGTATTTTGCTGATTTCCATTTCTCCATTCAAGGGATTTCAGCTGGAACACAACCAAATGGCCATTCTGCCAAGGCTGTTTGCACTACACAGCCTTCACAGTAAAACTGCAGGGCAATATGCCATGAGAAGTAATCGCTGAATATTTTAAAGAGAAAACATGTTGCCAAGGTATGCTTCATCTGATATGGCTGCAGAAGAAAATTCGCTAGCAGCACCCTCCTCTGTATGCTTGCCTAGATGTAAGCAACACTGAATTCAGTAAGACAATGACTCCTGTGTATCTGTTAATGGAAAGAGGAGAGAAAATGCAGGCTCCACACAGCCTTTCCAAGGCTATTTGTAGATCCACAAGACCCCCACCATTTTTACTTTATTCAAAATAAAGGTATGGGGGGCAATTCTGATGTGTCCTGTCCCAACTCAACTGTTTTAGATTTTAAAGAAGAAGAAGAAAGCAAAGTGAAAGTGACACATGGTTTATTTTCTGCTTTAAAATATTTTCTCTTTGGCCCAAAACAATTGGACTTTGGGTAGCTGCTCACTGTCTATAAAAATTTTAATATAATATAATAATATGATATTATTGGGAAGTGGGACTTGGCCACAGTGGTCCACACTCTCGTTACATCCAGGATAGACTACTGCAACGTGCTCTATGTGGCGTTGCCTTTGAAGACTGTTCAGAAGTTTCAAATAGTCCAATGAGAGGCAGCCAGGTTAATAACTGGGGAGGCATACAGGAAGCACACAACTCCCATGTTACGTCAGCTCCACTGGCTGTCTGTTTGCTACCAGACACAATTCAAAGTGCTGGCTTTAGACTACAAATCCCTAAAAGATCCTAGACCAGTTTACCTGTCCAAACGCATCTCCCCTTATGAACCACTGCAAAGACTAAGATCTTCTGGGAAGGCTCTGCTCTCGGTCCCACCACTGACACAGGCGCATTTGGCAGGGATGAGAGACAGGGCCTTTTCAATGATTGCCCCCTGGCTATGGAACTCCCTTCCTGGTGAGATTAGATCACAGGATGTCTATTCCTCACACCACTAGAGAAATTATACTGTTTCGCCAATATTGCACCACCTGACATCCACCAGGAAGTAGCAGCCAATAATGAAAGGACCAAGGCCCATCCCCTGTTCGGAAATCAGCCAGCACGCCAACCAAAATAGTTTTCTAAGATCTACAGAGATACTCACAAAAACACCTCAGCAAGCAAGAATCCAAAAGTGGCAGGCTAAAACCTGGAACCTCAAGCCATGGCTGACACCGAATGACAGATTCCCCCCCCTGGGCACACAGAAGACTGGGTGACTTGGAAGACGTTGAATAGACTGCACTCTGGCACCACGAGATGCACGGCCAACCTTAAGAAATGGGGCCACAAAGTCGAGTCCATGACATGCAAGTGTGGAGAAGAACAAACCACAGACCACCTACTACAATGCAATCTGAGCCCTTCACAATGGAAGACCTTCTTATAGCAACACCAGAGGCACTCCAAGTGGCCAGCTACTGGTCAACAGATATTTAGTATAATGCCAAGTTTTTAAACTTGGTGTTTTTAAAATACAGTGCAACTGTACCCTTGGTTCACTTCTGATACGATAAAAATAGATGCCTTCTGTAGTAGAGATATTATTGAAATTACAGCACAGATCAGAAAAATCCCATTGGAGGGTTTGTTTTCTTGTTCCCAAGCTTCTGTGAGCCAAAAGTGAATGTAATGTTTACATTACCAAGAATGTACCTTCGGTATCTATTCTGCATATTATCCTGTCTTAGCATGTGGCACAAATAGCAGTCAAGAGGATCAGATGTACTTTTCCATGGCACATTTAAAAAAATCTTAGACAACATCTGTTTAGTCTGACCTAATTTTGGATCAAGTCAAAGAAAAGACTCTTCTCCCTTTCTGCAAATGCTAGATAAATAGTTCACTGGCTATTCGCCAGGGAGTTGTCTGCCTATGAATATACTGTGATGATCACTTAGCACTAAATTAGATGCTTGGCAAAAAAACAAACTGCTACAATAGGGACATTTTGTGGCAGCCTGTACTCATCCAACTAGTGTCCCAACTCATGTCAAAGTTACTTTTGGGGGCTGTAACTCCCAGAGTCCCCTAATGAACACAGGCAGTGACCATGACAAATGGAGTATTCCAGGGATCACAACCCCTAAAGTAATCATGCCAAGATTTGATCTATGTAGCACAGGCCTGTAGAGTATATCTGTATCTCAGGGAACATAACATATGCTGCACTAAAAACAGCCATCTTAAAGGGGAACTTTTATTTTTTAAATCTTTATTTCTTCTCTCTTTTTCTGTCTGTCTTTGCTCATAAAATGGCAACTTGTGGCATTGTTAAAACTTTGAGTCTTCAGCCTTGATGCACAATCAGAGCACAAAAAACTTCATGGGTCTCCTTATCTGTCTGTGTGTATATTATAGAAGCCTGAGTATTTGGCAGAGCTGCCTAGCAACATAGTGGAGGCAAGCTGGATCATCTAGCAGGCTGTCTGATTGCTGACTAGTCTGAAGAAACTCCTTATTTGCTTTCTAAGGATCACAGAGCTGGAGAGGAGAGACTTACACTGGAGTACAATTGTGTCCTCTGTTTGCATTTCAGGAAAGCTGTGGACAGGCAGGCTGAAACACAGAGGAGGGCTTCCCAACATACTTTTTGAATGTCCAAAAGAGTTGAATATTTGAGCTACATATTAAATGAAGGGAAATGACTGGGTTGAGTCACTTTTTCTCTGCCTTCTAGTGAAGTTTGCCTTTGGGAAAGTCTTTTTTTAAGGATACTAAAGAAGCAATAGGACTCAGGCTTCTGCCTTGTACAACATTGTAGGGCATTACAAACTTAAGTAAATCATTTTTCTGTTTCCAAACAGTGCTGCCCACATGTACCTGAGAAACTTACAACAAAGGTACAAAGGCAGCAGCATCACACACTTGTTATTTACATTGTCTCTCAATATATTTCACTTTGTTACTATGGTTATTAAGCACTTTTAGATGGGATGCAAATAGAAGTGGTTGGAGGCAAGACAAAGTGTGATTGGAATGGTTCATTAAAGTGAATGGGACACAGAGCTCACATGTGCTTTTTTGACCCCACCTCTTACAGGATGATGCAGTATTGAATTCGGGACATTGCACAGTTTGCTTGGATCCGATGCTCTGCATGACTTGATCTGATCTTGTAGGACAAGTATGCTCTGGTGCATCCATAGAGAGCATACCTGTGACACCAATCTTTCTTCAAGTTCCAGGTTTTTGTTTTGTGTTTTGTTTTTGTTTTTGTTTTTTGCCACAGCACAAATCCTAACCTGAAATTTATTACCATGACAGCAACACTGAAAGCCCTGCTGGTGTTTTGGACTATAAATTCTACAATTTCTATATCTGCAAGATATCTATATCTGTGGTATGTAAGTCTAGTTATAAAACTTTGGTAGACCTTTCAAAAAGTTCTCATGAAAGAACTGGCTATTTCTGATTCATTTTTTCTTGAATTATTACTCTTTCACTAGTGTAGGTTTCTACAGGACAATGCCCTACTACAGGAGTGAGGAAGGTAATCTAACTCTTATAACCCTTCATAATTCGTTTTGCTGGCTAGAACATTTGGGAGCTATAGTCTACCTCACTTTTGGAAAGAAGGCAAAAACGTGGCTGTAGGACCAGGCCTTCGGGTAATTAGGCGGAAATGACAATGACAATGTTGTTAATTGGCTTGGAAATGGTTTATGGATAAGTTAAATGGCGTACTCAATCATAGAATTCGGCTAGATAATGGCCACCAGACTGGTAATAGCTTAGTAAATTGTAAGTATATTGTTTTAATGTTTTTATGTTGTATTTATTATAATTACTAGTGATTTGCATTTTTATTATGTGGCATCAAATTATTGCCAATTGGAAGGCGCCCTGATCCCCCCCCCCCCCCCCCCCCCCCCGGATTGAGAAGGGCAGGGTACAAGTGTTTGAAATAAATAAATAAATAAACAAACAAACATATGGAGGACTATACATTCTTTACTCATACAGTATTATACTCTCACAAATTAAGACATTTTAATGACCTTCCTAATACTTTAGATATTAACTCTCATAGGTCCCAGATAAGAGGTGCCAGAGTGAAAACTTTAAAAAAAACCTCTCATATATTGAATAGTTGTATAGAAGTTTTCAATCCAGCAGCCCCAGACAACACAGCCAATAATGGGTGGTTACAGGAATTGCAGTGCAAAACATCTGGAAACCAAATGTTCTACACCACAATCCTTCAACAGTATTCCCACAATGGTAGAATCAGAATTAGGTCAGTAAAAGGTATAGTATCAAACACAATGGCTCAAAAAGGATATCAACAAGACCTTCGTCACAGCTGCAGATTGTTCTCTGAAGTTGATCTTCCAGGTGTTTCAGCCTCTCACTTATTTTTTCACATTTCTCTTTAACCTCTGTGGAAAGCATATGGCAGTCCTACAAGTAGATTAAAACAAAAATAAAAACAAAGAAAATCAATACATGATTAACATAATTGAAAACCATGCAAAATTTGGACACAGTTTAAGAATATTTCATCAAGAAGCATTTTTTGAACTACAACAGGCAGAAATTCATAGCCAACATGACAAAAAATAACTTTTCCAAGTTCTTATCATGTTGGAAGTAAAATAAACAATGCCATGATACCTTTTAATTGCATGACTGCATAAATAAGTATTTAATATAGTCAGGTATTTTAAAAATAATGTCTTACACAAGGAAGCTCACAATTTACATTCTGTGGGGTAGACTTGTAGTTTTCTCTGAGTTTACTGCCAATATTATGTGCCTAAATTAGAAAACATGTCTGGGGAAACTACTGAAGGGTCAACAACTTCATATTGTTAAATCAGACCTGCCTTCACATTTCATATCTAATTGACTGAATGAGCCTGTGGCATTCATAAACACATTTTAAGGGTTAGCTTTCATGAATAAGGGAAACACATATCTGGACTGTTGTTGTCTGCCTTCAAGTTATTCCCAACATATGGTGACATTAACATGAGGTTTCCTTGACAGGATTTGTCAAAAAACGGGTTTGCAATTGCTTCCTCTTAAATTGGGAGAGTGTGATTTGCCCAATGTCACCTAGTTGTCTTCCATAGCCAAGTGGGGATTTGAACGCTAAACCCCCTAAGACTTAGTTCAGTAGTCAGAACTACAATTGGCTCTCATGTTTGGACTAAAATGTTCCTTTTTAGACTAGACCACAATCCTAGAATTCTCATGCTAGCTGGAGGTTTACTGTAGTTATAGCTGTAGACACTCACAAGCAGAGTCCCCTTTTCAAGATCCATTCGTGTTAATTCTGAAGTAGATGGCCCATTCAATCTCTTCCAACTCTATGACTATATGATGTTAAAATGTGAAAATAATCTATAGGGATTCCTAACTCCAGCATATCTGCAAATATCCCAACATCTCTATGGAAGGTACACTGGGTCTGTCCACAGCAGATGATCTCAGAGTTTTATGGAAAAGCCCTCATAGATCATTCCTTCCTTTATGGAAGGAATGATCTAGCTACATCCAGGAAATGTCCAGGTACGAACATGCAGCCATTGGCAATTACCTGTCAGTAATGCATGCATCTTAAGCCCTAGATAAGCCATGTTTCCTGGGAGCAGGGGAATCTCAGAAGTAAGGAGTCCTTCGTGAATAAAAGTCCTCAGAAGTGCATAGCCAAATTCAGATAGGCCTGGAAACCAGGCTAATGAATATCCCAGGTGATTTCTGTTGCTGGAACAAGTTTTGCATGCAGTCTACCTCCTTAAACTTACTTTTTAGTATGGACCTGTGGATCCAAGTTAACACCTAACTCATATCATGCCTACCTTTTGCTCCCCAATGTCTGAATCTGGCATTACTCTAACAATAGCTATTAGATTGTATCCACTTTCACACTAGTGTTTGGCTATAGCTTCCCCTTGAAAACCTATGAGATATTCACCAGCCACTATGACTCTTCTGATCTTGGGCTGCCCCTTTCCTTCCAGATCAGAAGCCAAGTTAGCAGTAGGCCTAAGCAGGGCAGACATACTATGGTAACAGAGAACCCAGTGCTGTGTCTCACCCTTAGATTTACATGGCAAAAAGTATTACTGCAATTTCAATTCCATGCTTGTCAAACAAGATTACATCAATAGTTCTGCTTGATGTCACTTGTCAGTTACAGCTAGTCTTACACCACATGTATTGCAGACACAAGTTAACTTGAGATTCGAGAAAAGATTTCAAGAAAAATATTAGCCCTGTAGAAAATGCAACATTAATTATAATTTGTTTCCTTGGTGCTTGGTACCTCTTGAGCTCCAAATAAGATACTTTTCTGACTAGGTCACAACATCCCTCCATGGCTTTGGAAATCCATTTTGGGTTTGCAAATCCCTGACACTGATGCATCAGAACCTTTGAAGGCGGCATCTTGACAGACAAAGAATAACTTACCCAAGTCTAATGACAGATGGGATGCCTTTCTAAAATGCTTTGGCTGTAGCTTTTTCCCAAAATAGCTGTAACTATTGTGCTAATCTACCTCTTTACCCAGATGATACAAAGATGCCCTTGGGGGGGGGGGCGGGGTGTATTAAAAAGTTGTTGTTGTTATTCTGACACAAAAATACAGTAGGTCACAGCAAACAAGATATATATGCTGGATTTTGTATCACAAAATCACAGGTCGAACACTTCCCAAGCATCTAGGACTGTGTAATGTATTTTTGAATGATGCGCACAGATCCAAGTAAGGTGGTCTTTTACAGTTGACAGATCATGATTTTGTCAATGTTTACTGTTTCCAAATGCCGGCTGAGATCTTTTGGCACGGTACCCAGTGTACCGTACCACTGGGACCACCTGTACTGGTTTATGCCACAGCCTTTGCAGTTTGATTTTGAGGTCCTCATAACGACTTTTCCTATTGTTTTTCCTCAATGTGACTGTCACCTAGTATGGCGACATCAATAATCCAAACTTTTTTCTTTTCCACTATCATGATGTCTGGATTCAAACGTCCCTCAGTATTTTTGCTTGTTCATTTTCCACTACCTTTGCAGGTTTATGATCCCACCAGTTCTTTACTACTGGCAGTAGTATTTGTGACATAAGTTCCAATGAATCATTTGGGCCACATCGTTGTACCTCTGTTTGTAGTCTGTCTGCAACTTTCTTGCAGCAGCTGAGGATATGATCAATGGTTTCATCAGTTTCCTTGCACAGTCTGCATTTTGGGTCATCTGCTGATTTTTCAATCCTGGCTTTAATTGTGTTTGTTCTGATGGCTTGCTCCTGGGCTGCAAGAATCAGGCCTTCTGTCTCCTTCTTCAGTGTTCCATTCATGAGCCATAATCAGGTCTTCTCCTTATCAACTTTCCTTCAATGTTGTCAATTTTGCCCATGCAATGCTTTGTATTATTATTATTATTATTATTATTATTATTATTATTATTTGAAACACAACAAGATGAGTCCACAGCAAACAAGATCATTCTGCTGGCTGTTGTATTGGATTACACGTTGGATACTTCCCAAGTTTCTAGGACTGTGTGATGTATCAGCGAATAATGTGTGCAGATCCCAGTAAGGTGGCCTTTTGCAGATGGAAGATGGTAATTTTGTCAGCGCCGATTGTGTTTAAGTGCAGGCCAAGGTCTTTAGGCACTGCATCCAGTGTGCCAATCACCACTGGGACCACCTTTATTGGCTTGTGTCAGAGTCTTTGCAGTTTGATCTTCAAATCCTCATATCGTGTCAGCTTTTCCAGTTGTTTCTCTATTATTACCTTCCTTCCCTGGCTTTCTTCATGCTTTTATCTCTCTATGTCTTGATCTGGTCTTCCTCCTTGTATCATTGTAAATAGACTGAATTTTCAATAATACTGTAGAAGTCCAAAACAGTAAGATCAGGGTCATAGTGTAATTTTCTGAGCTCAATAGTTTTGTACCATCTCTGCTTGCACTATACCTGTTTTTCATTCTACAGTTAATTCCAACTCATCCCTTTTATTTCAATTTCCTCCATACTCAAGGATCCTCCAAACAGGGTTGATGTGTCAGGAGGTTGCATTCCTGCTCTTCAGTGCAACTTTTTTATTCCAAGAGATAGCTGAACAAAAAAAGTCATTATGAAGCACTAAAATAGGAGTTTTGTACTGCGCCATTGTAACTAATGTGGAAAAAATAAAATTCAAAGGGAGAATATTTGCCCTTCAAAATATAGGTTCACCTCAGTAAACCACATTCCAGGTTTTTAAAAAAATGTAATCCAGACAGATCCAAGAAATTGCTAAAGCAACCTGCCAGAAGAACGTATGTGGTGACAGCAACAACCAGCAAAAGCTGGTAAACCCCAAGGAGCTACAGTATATCACAAGAACTTGCACTTCTGGTACTAGTTTGGAAGAATTCCAAGAGAAGGCTGAGAGGAGATATGATAGCCATGTATAAATATGTGAGAGGAAGCCACAGGGAGGAGGGAGCAAGCTTGTTTTCTGCTTCCTTGGAGACTAGGACGCGGAACAATGGCTTCAAACTACAAGAGAGGAGATTCCATCTGAACATTAGGAAGAACTTCCTGACTGTGAGAGCCGTTCAGCAGTGGAACTCTCTGCCCTGGAGTGTGGTGGAGGCTCCTTCTTTGGAAGCTTTTAAGCAGAGGCTGGATGGCCATCTGTCAGGGGTGATTTGAATGCAATATTCCTGCTTCTTGGCAGGGGGTTGGACTGGATGGCCCATGAGGTCTCTTCCAACTCTTTGATTCTATGATTCTATGAAGTGTTGAAATTTCCTTGTGTTGATTCTTAACTGTTCATTATCAATAGCTGAAATTGTTTTAATTATTTATTACATTTGTAGGCAACAATGATTAAGAATTGGTAAAGTGGGAAGGGGATCTATTAAGAAATACACAATAGAAAGAAGGACTTTTTAAAAATATTCCGCAGTAAGCAAAAGTGAAAAAGTAAAATTCTGACCATACTGGATCCCCAAAATATCTTCTGTTGAATTTTAAAAGACTCACGTTTGACTGAATACCTCATTGCAAATCTCTACTGAAAATGATAAGTTTAGACTAGGGATCAATATAGCAAAAGCTTTTAAAACTAGAGATAGTCAGACTGAAGAGGTGAGGAAAGGCTGCAAATGTCCTTGTGCTTGCAGAAGGTGAAAGAGAACAATGAAGAACAACTCATCCATCAAGTTGTTAAATTGTTATTCAATACTCAGCAGGATCCTGCATATTTTAGGGAGAAAATAAACACCTGAACAATTTACAAGATTGGAAAGCTATTAGAAAGCACCTTTGTGACTGGCATACACAAGGAGATGGCAGCATTGTAAGCAAACTTTGTTACTTTACAGGCTTGCAAGGTGATCGGTCCTGAAATCATTTTATTTTCTTTGCTCTCAAAACACTTGATTACCATCAGAGCA